TTACTTACTTACTTAATGTATATTTACTACAACAGTTGCCTCAATTTTTGGGGAACTTTGCCCTGGGGCAAGCGAAGCTCATAAATGCTTATTTTGAGAGCTGGAAATGTGAGGAAAGTGTGCTGCAGAAAACAATTGGTCGGAGGGCTGGGGAGATGGCTCAGTGGAATAAGCACTTGCCTGGCAAGTGCAAGGGCCTGAGTTCAATCCCCGGTTCTGAAAAAAAAAGAAAGAAAGAAAAAAGGAAACAATCAGTCACTCCAGCTGACACTAACTTTTAGCTGCACTGGCCCCGCACAGACTGGGAGCTGTCGAGAAAGTCAGTTGTGCTCAGGGCACCGCGGGGCTGGCAGCTGCAGAGCTGATTGCTGTGTGTTGGTGATACAGTGTCTGAAGATGCAGACAGGCAGGAGGGAAAGGTGACCAGACGGAGCAAGGCACAAGGTAAATATTATTGAAGTGTATTGTCATAATATGGTAGAAATAGAGAAACTGCCAAAATAGTAAAGAAGTTCTTTTGGAGGAGGCTTGTAGTCTATATAGATTAATATTTTCCTATTAATTTTCTTCATCTAGTTAATAACTCCAAATTCATATGCTCTTTCTCTCAATGTCTCTTCTCTACTTTCTCTCTTTGTTTTTTTTATTTCTTTCCTTGCTTTCATTTCTATCAAACACACATATAACACACATCCTAAAAAATATTTATTTATTTAATGATATAGAGTCTCACTGCACAACTTGGACTCATAGTGATCCTCTTGTTTTTGGACTCCCCAGCTCTGGGTTTACAGATGTACCTCACCATGCCTAGTCTCAGTGGCCGGCTCAGTGAGCCCGGGAGCGAGGTGGGTATGGCATATGGTGCCAGGGATTGAACTGTGGTCACTGCGCTTCCCTAAGAAAGTGCTTAATCTAGTAAACTATCTTTCTAGCCCTCCTAAAAGATTTTTAAATAAATAATTTTGATGTATCATTCTTCTGTAGTGTGCAGTTTTCTACTTGTAATTTCTGTGTCTTTGTTTCCCTGTCTCTGTCTCTCTCTTGCTGTCATTTATACACATGCTTGTACATAATATTTACATAAATAGGAACTACTCACAGTACTCTTTAGAGACTTTACAGGGAAATGCCATGACAAGCTATGAAAAGTTTTCATTGTTCACAACATACCAGGTAAATGCCAGAAGATAGAGATGCTATGAAAATAGATATATGTATGTCCAAGAATACCATTCAACTTGACTTGACTTAACAAGTCTTACTTGAAGAAAATACGAATAGAATTTATATATACCAACTAAACTTTTGCTTCTGCTTTGGGCTTTACAATCTTCTGATTATAGAACACCATTTGTCCCACAGAATCTTTGGCCACAGAGCTCCAAATTAAGTTTTTTCCACATCATCTTGGTGAGTAAGCTTTCTAGATATATTTGCTCGAGAACTGTGTCTGTGTCTCTCAATCAGGAAGATTCTACTGTGTGCTCAGTATTATTCTTTATAGATCTTTTAGTTGATAATTTTTTAAATAGAAAGAAAAAGAGAGGGTACCAAATATATTTCTTACTAACAACCAAGAAATGCAACCCAATTTATTCTCTCATTACTCAAGAATGAGTGTATCAAGTTATTACCTGTTTTAAAGTAACAGAGAGAGGAAAATTTAGCATGTGCTATATAGGTTGAAAAATGAATGGTCAATTGAATACCACATTATTAATTCTAATTAGTTTTACTTTTCAAAGAGAAGGTGATTTTCAAGGAAGGTGGTCATTTTATTTTTAGGAGGTAGAAAATGTGTCACAATTTAAAAAAAAATAAGTAAAACATTGAACCTTATTTTGTGATTCTCCACTATGGCATCCCCCAGGAGTGGAGCCCACGTCATCACCTCTCCATATGTTCACCACTGTGATGAACATATTGAAAAGTTAGTGTTTATCAAATAAATAAATTAGTGGGACAATATATGAAAAGAGAAAGTTTGAGTGAGGTAGTGAAGAAACATACTTGGAGACAAGGTTCATCCATCCACGTAAATAAATAGCTAATGGGATAATAGAAGAAACATCAGTTTACGTTAAAATACTATTTTTTCATATTTACTAAGGTAGCATTAAATCAAGTGACTAGAAAAAGAACACTAAATAATTATATTTCTATGTTGGTTTCCTTCCTTTGTATATTTCTTTGTATATCCTGTATTATTTTACCATGGGTTTTAGTATGAGAAACTGTAAGTACAGGAATGAGACTTATGCATGTAAATATGTGCCTTTGGAGGTACATGACTGTATTCTTAGGTAGATTTATATTTTAGGAGATCAAGCCATGAGTGAAAGCTGTTATTTTCTCACTGAAACATATCCACTTCAGATTTCCCATATGTAGTAGTCATTTTCATAGTCAGCTATTCATAAAATTTGCTATAATTGTCATTATGTGAAATGGTGTAATAGGAATAGATTAAAATGTAAAGCTACGACAAATGTACATAGCACTAAGGGAGAGGAAGGTGGCCAACTGGGAGTTTCCTGGGAACAGGCAAGACCAGTAGCCCTCAGTTTTCTAGCATTCAAGATTCTTGTTTTTCTGCTGTAATCCCACCGAGATTTTTTTTAATTTTGAGTTATGCCAAGTGTATAATGCCTGCGTCGTATTGCCTCAATTTCATGGAATGGAAAAAGACTCGTTGCAGTGCAGACCTGAGCAAATGCTGCAGCCATTTTGAATAATCATGGCGGCCATGGCTCTGTGGACGCGGCTGATGGTACGTGGTCAGCACTGAGCGCTGCAAAGGTGAAGCGGTCCTGCAGGGGTAGCAGCCTCAGGACGGAAGGTGCAGCCAGCTTGTGTACTGTGGGATGGCTGATCCCCTGGCTGGCTGGCTGGCTGGCTGGTCACACAGCGTTAGGCTGCTGGGAACTCTCACAGAGGGTCTGCAAACTTCTTTTCTAAAGAGTCTAAAAATAAAAAGGAATAGAAAGAAAGAATACCTCAAGTACACAAAGGATAAGCCTGTAAAAAGACAAAATGAGAAATGCAGTGTTGGTCAGTAACAAGACTGAAAGGAAGAAGGCAAAAGAGTGGAAATGTGCAGTAGCAACTTGTAAATGTCATTACCTGGTGGCCTGGAAATTAAATAAAGACCCCATTTATCAGTCTATACAGCCGAGTCTAGATATAGGAGTAGCCTGCCTTACATAGGTCAAATGTTTAATTTACTTAGATTTTTATTGTCATTTCAAAGTTGTTTGATACTTTGCAGCATTATCAAAACTAAATAGTCAATTGTGAGGACAAATTAAAATTCCTTCTAGGGGGCTGGGGTGATGGCTCAGTAGAATAAGCTCTTGCCTGGCAAGTGCAAGGGCCTGAGTTCAATACCCAGTTTGGCCAAAAAATAAATAAATAAATAAAATAAAATACCTTCCATGATAGATGACTAACTTATTTGCTTTGTATTGAAGTTTTTGCAAATACCCATGGAAAACATTATGAAATTTAATTTAAAAATGCAAATGGCTTGTTCATATCTTTTTTTTCTGCACAGTGAAGACTTACTTATATGGTAACAGCATAAACTTAAAAATCTCTCTTTACCAAAAGATAAGTATAAGCTTTTGACAATTTACAAATCTAGGCCACTAACTTCTAGCTTTTCATTGCTAGACTGTCCAAGGCCACTTAACTATTTTTACAAGTAGACAGTGTTACTTAAAATACAGTCAGGCCTGCAAGTCCAATCTCTCCATAACAAGCCATCCAGAACAACTGACTTAGTTAACAAAAATTCCATTGGCAACTATATTTTGAAATTCCAGAGGTCTAGCCAAGGTTATGGTGATTATTTTACTACTCAATCCAGCTAAATATCTGTATGTTTTGATAATATTCGGGATGTAATTAAATATTTGTTTCCTAATGCCACTGATTAATTAAATTTAATTTTTAAAATTTATTTATTTATTTTTTACAGGGTCTCACTATATAGCTCAGACTTGTAGTGATCCTCCTGTCTCAGATCCCCCAGCGCTGGGATTACAAGTGTGTGCCACCATGCCCAGTTTCAGTGGCCAGCATGACACACCTAGGGTCCAGGGTAGGCATGACATGCAGTACCAGTGATCAAACCGGGTCCTCGTCTTGCCAGGCAGGCACTTAGACCACCACGCTATCTCCACAGCCCTAATCAAATTTAATTTTAAAATGAAAATAATTACTGATTTATATGCATTAAAAGTGGGAAATACATCTCTTTTGGAGCAATAGATTTTTTTCAAGAGAAAATAATAATTATGTTCAAACACTTTCAACATGTAAAGAAATGTACTGACAACTGTGACAATCTTCCTATTGCAGGATTTTTTCATCAGAGCTTCTGTCACAGAATCGAAAGCAACTGGCAATGTAAGGTGAATACAAATACGTATATTCTAAGACGTATAAAGTAACTGAGTGCAACTAAGCCCCTTCAAATGAGTATTGTGTGTTCTCCTTTCTGGCTTACGCTATTTTATTTTTTTATTTTTAATAATTTTATTGAGAAACAAATAGCAGTGAGACAGTTTCAAACCCGATTAGTAGGACAGTTTCAATAGTTAATACACTGCATATTGTTGCCTTCGTAGTGGTTACTCATAGTACAAGATGCAGACATGATATCCTGTCCACAAACACTGTTAGAACAAATCTTTCTACTCATTGAATTAAGAGAAAGTAGCTGCTATTTTAAATGGTCCTTTCAGCCGCCAAGTGACAGGATGGTTTCCTAGCCGTGTTTACCTTCGGGGATAACGTCATCTCCCCCTGTTGTCCAAACAGATAAAATCAAGCACTCTAGAAACAGCGAGACTCTCCTTTGCCCTGTTATTTGTAAGCTGACATGAGGCAAGCCGACACCTGAAGTTTTGTGCATGCTGTTTTCTCTCCGTGCTGCAACAAGAAAAGCATTTTCTTTTAACCTGATTGCCGTGAAGAAGTGACTCAGACATCTCATGGCCTCGGAAGGTAAGATAAGCTAGAGCCAGTGAATACATTTTGTCTTCAATTACGACAAAATATATAGCTGTTGAGGAAATATAATGAGGGACATTAATACTTTAAAAGCTATCATTTATTTGTTTTGAACATTGGAATTTTAAAATTATAACTCCAAGGAGAATGATGCATTAACAAGCACACATGCACACACACACACACACACACACACACACACACACACACGCACATGCACGCACGCACATTCACACACACACACTTTATCTGAGAGAATGTAAAAGTTCAGATGTAAAAAAATGCTTCAGTTGTCATGGATATAAACTAGTGCACTGTAAGAAAAGCTATATAGAAAAATAAGAGCAGTGAGATTTAATGTCAAACACAAGGACAAGACAAAATTATAAACTTAAAGGGTTCTAAAGGAAACTTTTCACATACAAATTTGAAAGTGCTAAACAATAAGTCAAATGACTTTATTTCTCATCTGTTGTTCAAAATGTGCTATGTATCAAACTATTATAAATAATACACCCTATGTTGACCATAGCCCTTAAATTGTAAGGATTGAAAATAAATGTTTCTAGATGATAGATCAAAAATCTTTCAAAGTTTTTGACAATAAATTAAATATAAGAATTCAAACAAAATATCTATTTAAACAAGCAGATCGATTAGGAAATTGAAAGGAGAGAGACTTGGTAAGATTTCCCTTAAAGCCCTAACTCCATATGAATATCATTTTTGCTGTCTTTTTTTCAAGAAGTGTTCAGAAGATAAGAGATGTACTTTTTAAGGATTAAAAGGTTGTGTTTTCACTAAAACTACCTGTGAAACTTGCCTAAAAGTGAAATTATAACATCTTGCTATTCCATCATCAGAACAAACCATTACACACTAGGATATAATGAAAAGTTTAGCATAAAAAATTATGACTTGTATAATTACCAGAGGTTTTTAATCTCATAATAGGATGAGCTCACAAATTTACAATATCCTAAAGTACATTAATGAACTACTCAAAGAAATTGTTTATACTTATTTCATTTAACAAAACCCAATTTAAACACTATTTAATATTAAACAAATGAGGTCATCTTTTTCCTTTTCATCAGCATTTAATGTAGTCAGGTCTCTGAGAATCACTGGGATAGTTTGCAGATTTAATATTCACAAATAACAAAAATCAATTTTGTTATGAATGAATGTTTTGAATTTTAATATACTTATAGTTTATGTTTGATGATAAACAAAAATCTTCACAAGTGTTTTCTTTTATTTAACTGTCACTAACACTTAGGCCAAAATGCTCCATCACTTTATAAAATAAGTTACAGCAACACAGTAGCCTGTAAGGTAAAGAGTTGCAGCGTATATAAAATATTTATAAGCTGGTTATACATTTTTAAAAGAGTAGATAGAAATTCAAAGCCAGATAGAAATTCAAAGGAGTTCCTTCTTCATCTGGTGGTCTGACTCTTTGAGGAAACTTGTGACTAGAAAGCAATATTATGATCAAATTATGATTAATCTACCAAAAAGGCAGTGGTACTCAGTAATAAGATCTGCAGTCTAAACTTAGAGGCAGAACTTTAGGTGGAAAATGAACTATCCTGAGATCTAGTCACAATACTTAGCATAAGCTGTTGATAAAATACCAGTTTCGGGGCTGGTGAGATGGCTCAGTGGTCTAAAGCACATACTTAGAACAAGCTTTAGCAAAGCACAGGGACCACGGTTCAATCCCCCAGCACCACATGCCAGCCAGCCCCGCCTCCTGGTGGGCTGAGCTGGCCACACACACACACACAAATAAATAAACAATTGAAGTTTCAATGCGGCTACCTTTGGAATTAGCACTTTGGTTTGAGAAGACAAATCACATTATCATTGTTATTTACCTAAAACATTTTTAGGATTTTTTTCTTCAAGTACATTGAAAGATGTCACTTGTAACTTTCTGATGTTTTTTTCACCCATGGAACTGTACTGTCAACTCACATCTTCCCAGATTTAAAAGGTAGAGCGGAATACCCCTCACACAAACAAACTTCCATGAACTGTGTGTCTCATTTGAAAGAAAACCACTGCCATTTATTGTTGAGGATATATATGCCCCTCCAATCTAAGTATATGTGTCGTGAGAGTATTATCCAAATCTTCGTATAGCTGTTAGAAATTTCCTCTTTATGTTAATCTAGACCCAGTTTGTTTTTTGTTTTTTGTTTTTTGTTTTTTTTGTTTTTGTTTTTTTTTTTTTGTGGAACTGGGGATTGAGTTCAGGCCCTTGTGCTTGTCAGGGAAGCGCTTATTCCACTGAGCCATCTCCCCAGCCCCTCTAGCCCCAGTTTCTTTGTCTCTGCCATTCACGTGTCTTTAGAGCAGTTTTAATCAGAGTCAAACATCATATCCTAGCACTGTAATCAATGACATATCACAAGTACTATGGCGACCCCACATGATGCACATATAAAAACATCTATACATCTAAGTCATTGCTTCAGTCAAATCTTATAATTTTTGCTAAAGTTACTACCCATACTCTTCCACGTCTCTTTTTCTCTGAATTAAAGTTCAAGTGATGGTGGCAATAAAAAACTGAAAATAGGGCTGGGGAGATAGCACAGTAGAATAAGCGCCTGCCTGGCAAGTGCAGGGTCCTGAATTCAATTCCCGGTACTGCAAAAGCAAGCGAACAAACAAAAATGAAAATAAAGGAAAAGTCATGGAAGTAAGAGGTAGAAGATAATCTATCATCTAAATAAAGAACTGACAAATATTGTAGGAAGGATTCCATGAAATGGCCTAAGTATAAATATATGTTGAGATTTTGATTCTTTTGCAGATACACAGAACCAGAAAGGTAGAAGCCTACCTCATTTTCTTCCAGGAATTCCAGACACAGACCAAAGCTGTATCATCCCTTCTTCCAATCCCGGGAGCCAAGTGCGGCAGCAAGGACCCCACCCACCACGAAGCTTCCTCACAACAGTCAGTGTCCCTCCTGGTCTAGAATATTTAAGCCAGGTGTTTATACCTTTATATTTCCATAAATGCTTTTCTCTTAAAATTAATAGAAACTTATTTGCTTTAGTTTTCATACAATGTTGAAATATTTCAATAATTTACTGAACCAAGAAAGGCCTTATAAATCATGAAATTATAAACTATTTTATTTAGCAAGAATCTGTCTTCCTTTATTGCTAATTTTATCTTCTTAATCTATTTAACTGGGTGATGAACTAAATATTTTTGAAAGAGCTATTTTGTACATTATCTACCTTCTGTTCTCTATTCAGGTGTTGGTAAACGTATCCCTGAGGAATTGTCTAATATGCCTTAGTCACCTACAGCTATTGAGTTAAAAGAATATTTATTGAGTATCTGCTATACTCGAGGCATATAAAAAGCATAAAACATAGCCTCTCGCCCAAAATCTTTGCATCCTCATTGGCCAAATAAAAATTGTTGATTACAATGAAGGGATTTATACAAAAGCCAGGCTACTATATGTAGTACCACACATCTGCAATCCCAGCTTCTTGGAAGACAAAGGCCAGAGAGAGAATCACAAGTTCACAAACTGGATAGGAATCCAGGCAACTTATCAAGATTCTATCTCAAACTAGAACTTTAAAAATGGCTCAACACATAGCTCTGCATGCTAGAATGCTTGCTTAGTCCACGAAAAGCCAAAGTTCAGTCCCTCTCTTACCCCCAAAAGTAAAGAAAATACCCACAAGCACCCAATTCTGATATGTGCAGGTGTACAAAGCCAAGAAGACTGATACAGCCCTAAATTCTGAAGCAGACTTTGGCAGTGAGCTGAGAGTTCAACCCAATCTGCAGAGGAGAGAGGGGAAGCAAGCTGCCAACTTACCATTATTATCTTCTGAGGCTACTGCATCTCTAGGTCAATTTTCTTCAAAAATAATTATGATTAGGCTTGGTCACTGTTCTAGGCATTGCAGAGTAGGCAGCAATTCAGGCCTCATAATAATTCAGTTAACAAACATCATTATCTGAATAATATCACAAATACGCAGCAATGGCAATATATATATATATATATATACATATAAAATTGTTTCTATATTTTGTTCTGCAAAAAAATTAAAAGGCACTTACACTAATATTGAGATGTCAGCACATCTGCTGCAATTTTCAGCTTGTTTGGCATTCTTTCAAACTATAAAGTCTATCTCCTTTATCAAAATCAAATCTCTGTGTTAATTCCCTTAAGGTACAAGAGATTTCTGTTATGCCTGATAGGGTTTAAGCTGCACGCAGCATATGTTCCTGGGAAAATGTTTATAATTGCAGATGCCTTCTCCAGAAACCCACTGGCAGACAAATATACTTTGAAGACTGGCGAGCTCAGGGAGATATGTAAAAGAGCTGGAAACGCTAACCTACCATCTTCCATCTGCAGGAAGGATCAGCTGTAATAGCTGACTAGAGTTGATTAACTGCTGCAAGCTGTTTGGGAATGTTGTCAGACAAGGTTTTGCCAAGTATAAAAGTGATATACCAGTGCCAGAGGGCTGAGGTTTGATGATCACATATGGTCATCACATATTCTTCTTCCATCCATGAATGATGACACACCCGGAGCCAGATGCTTGACACGAATACATTTTTTTAACATTCAATAAATAGAAATCTGAACACGTTAGAGTCAAAGCAAAATTTAGTACATTTTCCAAAATGCACCTCCTCGAATCTTCTTGGGAAAACAAAATATGCCACAAATTGTTGAACACTTTTCTTCTAAAGAAATAACTTACTCACTTTATACTAAAAGAACATTCATTTACTTTGAACCAGTGCACATATAAAGGAATGAGTGAGCTTTCATAGGTCATGAGTCATTACATACTCTTTAGTGTTGACTTTGAACTAAAAATCATGAACATTTGGAAATAGTACATTCTACAATAAATACACAGGAAATCATATACTTACAATCTTCCTATATAAAAAACTTAAGCAATTGTTAAAATTTTACTTTATTATGAAGAAAGTTTATGCAATGACTACAGAGAAAAACATTTTCAAAGCAATTTGAAAATAAGTATATATTATGTGATACAAGTTAAACCTAAGGATAATGGTAATCAATTCTTTTTAGATTGGGTTTATATATTCATAATAGTTAACATTTTATCTTGCAATATAAAGATAGAAAACTATAATAACTAATTATAACTAGTGATAATTATGCAATAATGAATCATTAAAATTTAGTCATCAATAGTTATGAGAAGCTAAAGTCCCATGTAAATACCTAAATTATTTTGAAATACATATACAATATTAAGGGAACCAACAATATCTGTAAAACAGACTCTTTAAAAAAGGATTCTTAGGCTGTTTATCCAAGGTTGTCATTGTATTTTCATTTCTACTATTTTCATGCTTAAGGAGTACTTTACTTGCTCTGACACCTGAATATATAACTCAGTCTGTTTAAAATTTCCATTGAGACGGGGCGTGGTGGCGCACACCTGTAATCCCAGCTCTTGGGAGGCTGTAAACAGGCAGATCACTATAAGGTGGATCTCACTATGAGATCCTGAACACCCTGTAGATCCTTCCCTAAAATACAAAAATAAATAAATAAATAAATTTTATAAAAAAATAAAATAAGTTTTCCATCAATTTCTAGTCCATCAACCAATAGAAAAGAATGGCAAGGGTCCTTTTGGTTTATAAGTTGCTCGGAGATACTTAAAAGAAACTACAAACATCAAGACCCTCAAATCCAGGAAGATTCACAAAAAGAATGAGGTCACTCTTATTAGAGTATGAGGTATTAAAGAAAAAAAGGAATGAAGGCATCACACTTCATTGTGTCACCTAAGCATTACTTCTTCTAATTCCTAACTTCAACAATGTCAGCAACATGGCGACTTAGAAGTTTACCTGCTTAATGACCTTGGTAAATTCCTTCATCACTCTGGTACTGTTTCTTCACATCTAAAATTAATATTCACCTCTGAATTTTTCTGAGGAGAACACCATTATTGTGACACAATACACAGCACAGTGATGGCAGGCACTCAGTAAACAACTATATTATTATACATTAGAAAGTTACAACTTTTCTTTTCGTGGGTGAGAATAGATCAATTAATAATTTTAAATTTTTAAGACTAACATTAATTCCGTAACACTAATATTCAGGGTTCCTAAGCTCAAATGCCTTAGTTGTGGCCCTCTGTGCTTTCCTTCCTAAGTTCTTTCTGTAGAGAGGGGCTGCTAAATGGCTGTGTGGATCCGCTGTAAGCCACAGCTCTTCTTTACCAACTCTCCATTTCCTCGAAGGAAATCAGTACTAATGCAATACATTCTAAAAGACTTACCCTAATTTTTTTTTAAAAAAAGTGTTTTGTCATAATTGTTACTACGGATTTAGCACATCTCAGATCAAATGTCTGAAAATTTGAGAAGAATATGTGAATCGTTAAAAAAAGGATGACATATACTCTTTTATCAATACTAACATTTAAAACAAATAATATTAACCTTAACTTTATGTCAAGATGTTCAAGGAGAAAGGGTAATTCTGTAGCTTCACCTTTTCTATATTTCTGGCATTCAAACAATATCAAATTTTAGCACTTATTTGCTTGGTTTAACAATTCCTGGTGAGTTTGTTAATATAAAGAAAGAATCGATTGATGAACTTTTAAGGCAAAATAAAAAGTGAACCATGAAAAATATCAACATTGTGGCAATGTTCAGGATTTTGTGTTATTTGATCTTTAAGTAGTGAGATTCAAAATCAGTTACACACAAAATTATTCTAAGAACACACACCTTATAGCTCCTTTTTAAAAGCAACATGTACTGAATGTTTTAATAGTCATTTTGGATTGTCTACAATCTCTGCAAATCAATTCTATTTTCAATTACAGAAGATAAATATTGTTGCGCATGCATTAGCAGAATTTTTGTTTATTTTAATATTTTGTGGCATCTACAGACTTTTCCTAGCCAAAGGAAAGTGTGATTGGGAAATATTTTTTTAATAAACTTTTTCATATTAAACAAAAATGCTTGCTCCCTGACAAGAATGAGCTACATACAGGCTTTACAGGCTTGCAGACCGACACTGAGTTAGGGATTGTGGACTCAACATTCATTCAAATCATTATTACATTTCTTCATTTTTTTCAGAATAAATTGTGGGAAAATGTAAAGCATCTGGAGCTTGTTTCCAAAATTATCTTTTTTCCCCCATTATCACAAAAAAGTACAAAGTTAACCACTGTCGTTTTGGCAAATCTGCGTTGGAATTTTAATAATTAATGGCACAGGTTTACTTGAATCAAACACATTTTGTCCTTTTTTGCATTAGAAAACCGTAACCTCTTTTCAACCAGTTTGGTAGAAAACATGAAAATCAGCTAATTTCATGTTGTGTCAGAGGTAGGTTATTGGTGATCTCCAAAGGTTTATGACGTGCTGCGATGTGATACTTTCATTTCCTTTCTGTCTTCTTTTCACAGTTAGACCTGATCATTATACACCAGCAGGTGGAGCTTCTGGGAGGTAAGTACATTCTATTCTACCTTTACTAGAACTATAAACAATGCTTAAGTTTTTAGAAGTTTCTTTATATCTAAATATATTACAAACAATAACATGTTTGGAGATTAATATACACACGTAGAGTAAAATTAGATCAAAAAGGGCCCTTGGAAGGGCTGGCGAGATAGGCCAGTGGAGTAAGTGCCTGCTTAGGCAAGCGCAGGGACTGGGGTTCAATCAGACACCACGTCCTGGCCCTGTTTGCCACGCTGGCCCCGCCCCCAGGCACGCCCAGCTGGTGATGGAGTCCAGGCATGCCTGTAATCCCAGCCCTGGGGGGCTGAGACAAGAGCTGCATAACAAGACCCTGAAAGAAAGAGTGAGAGAGAGAGAGAAACTAAAAAAATGGAACCCTTAACTTATTTTTTAATAAAAGTTAAAAGTAAGATAATTAGTGTGATTTAACAAAAAGTACAGAACTCTCTAAGTCTTTGATGCTGTTGCAGGCCAAATCCTAAAATTATATTTGATCTTAAAATGACTGAAGAGACTTCGTCATTCCCATGTCAGCTAGTAATTAAATTTATTAACAGTTTCAGGGGACTGGGGATATAGCTCAGTGGCACAAACACTACCTGTCAAGTGCAAGGTCCTGAGTTCGATCTTCAGTACCCGAAAAAAAAAAAAATCTAGTTTCAGAAATCAAAAAGGAGATTAAATAATAAAGACCCATCAAGTCAAAGTGCCATTGTTTTGTCATTTCATTAATGATTAACCAAGTAGGCATATTATTTATCAATATATGAATTTTTGAGAATGATTGATTTGAATTTACTGAGGTATTTTATGTTCATAGTAATCTACATTAGTTCTAAAATATGTCAAAATTTAAATATATAGTTGGATAGTACACAGCCACATATTTATTACCACAGATTTTAGGCACAATAATTATTATGACTCTAAGTCATACTGATAACTTGTATAGTAATGATAGAATTAGTTTTGAGTCAGGAATTCTTTATAGTATTGGTTCTTTATTTGAAGAACAGCATTAATATTTTTCAGTCATATTTCTGAATGAAAATAAATTGATAGCACAGCTTTACTTTAGAGTTTACTGGATTTTTATGGCTAAGACTTCCAAATTTAAAGCACGAAAGTGGATTTGCATATAATAATTAATTTCTTCCTTCACTTTCACTGACACACACTTCCTTTATTTGAAAATGTTGGTTCTAACTAACACACTGTTTTTAAAATATTCTTTTCTTGTTAGTGATTCTTGGCACTGAGACCTCCAACAAATATGAGATTAAAAATAGTTTGGGACAAAGAATTTACTTTGCAGTGGAAGAAAGCATCTGTTTCAATCGCACATTCTGTTCCACGCTGCGGTCCTGCACCCTGAAAATCACAGATAACTCAGGGCGAGAAGTGATCACAGTAAACCGGCCCTTACGGTGCAACAGCTGCTGGTGTCCTTGTTACCTACAAGAGGTGAGTAACTGACTCTGAGTGGCTTCTTATTTTTGAAGATTAGCAATTTTTTATGACTTTTGTCTGAAGCTATGTAGCAATTAATTTTTTCTTAGTTTGAATTGGTACCTTGTGTTCTAATACTAGAAAGTTTGAGGTCTTGGTGAGTCACTAAAATGTACTCCTTTCCAACCACAAACTGAGGTGGCTTTCTGTTATGCTAATTGATAAAGATGGCTAAGGCATCATGCAAATGAGACACGTCCTCTTGCAGCTTCCTGTTAGCCATGTAACTGTAATGGCTTCGAGTTCCACCATTCGGCCAAACTACCTTTGACTGCCCTGACAGCAGCAAAGTCTGTGCAGTGGTAATGACTCTAGACTCCTTTGCAGTGTTCTCTTCCTCAGATGTCACTTAACATGGATTTTTCACATTCCATTGGCCCATTTATGACAAACTGGGGGCAGAGATTATTAAAGGTATTGTTACTGTTCTAAAGGCAATACTAAATTATCTTATTTTAAAATATATTTTCATCACTATGTAATAAAACTATTCAGTAATTCTCAGGAACATAAGCAATTATATCATTGATTTGATAAAGAACTTTTGCTTATTTTGCTTGCTTTGTTCTTATTTTCTTTAAAGTAAGAAAATAGCAAAAAAATTTTCAAACAACATTAGAAATGATACAAGTGGGGCTGGGGAGGTAGCTTGGTGGAATAAGCACCTACCTGGCAAGCACAAGGACCTGGGTTCAATTCCCAGTACCATGGGCCATCAAGGTCCGCCCTTGCTACACTGAGCTGACCCCTGAAATCCAGGATGGTGGCACACACCTGTAATCCCAGTGCTGGGGAGGCTGAGACAGGAGGATCACTATGAGTCCAAGCTGCATAGCCAGACCCTATACCAAATAAATAAATACATAAAAGATTTTTTTAAAAAATGATACAAGAGGTAGGGATATACCTCAGGGGCATATGCATCTGCTTGTCAAATGCAAGGTCCCAAGTTCAATTTCCCATACCAAAAAAAGAAAAAGGGGAAATTAAAAATGATACATAATTTTACTAAACAAATTATATGAATTTGACAATGACTGTTTGTTTGTTTGTTTCTTTTGTGGAACTGGGGATTAAACTCAGGACCCTGTGCTTGCCAGGCAAGGACTTATTCTACTAAGCTATCTCTCTGGCCCCTGACAATGATTGTTGTGCAGCATATTGCCTTCAAATTAGTTGCTCAGTTTAACACACATAAGCATGCAAAATTGGTAAAATAAATATCTATATAAAAAAATAAAAATGAAAGAGAAAAACATTGAGCATTAACTGCTTCTTTCAAGAAACCAACAGAAAGCAGCAGCACAGTCATCCCAGCCATCCTGGTGCATACACATACATTTCTTTGACATGACATCCTTGTGAGGCAAAAGGAGCCGCCTTAGTTTCTACATCTTGCTGTCAAGGTGACCAGAGGAGCTGCCTTGCCTGGGGTCACACATTCAGCAAATGCCATTGAGGAATCTTGGTCTGATGCCTCACCGTAGCCTCGAGCTTCTCTGTTGAAGACCTGTATATAAGTAATGTCCTCTGGGCAAGGAGAAATAGGAATATCTATGATTATTTGAGGAGCCATCTAAAAATATCTATGAGAATTCATCTCCATCTATTCACAGGCAAGCACTTGACTAAGTGATAAAACGTCTCAAGAACTCAGTCATGATACTTAAGAATTTTAATCCTCCTACTGAGCATATATGGAAGATTAATATACTCCAAGATAATATAACCAAGAATAATAAATATATATCCATTTTTTAATTTCTGATAATCAATATTTTGTATCTACATAGTGGCCTCATATCATATAAGCAAAAATATAAGATGTATCTTGAGTGCCACTATATTTTTTTAATTTGCTCAGAATCAAACCAATTACTTCAGAAATCATCTCAGAACAAATAAGTATAATTCTAAACAGTCAAGTAAACCCACTTCTGCCTTTCATGGATACTACACACATGCGTGTAGGACTGTGAGCTTAGTAAGCAAAGTGAAAAGAAGGCTAGATGTTGAAGAGCTATTTTAATTTAAACACAACAATGCTTTTTATTTATACTCACCCTGACTTACATTACTAAATGATTTGACTTGGCTTATATAAATGTGTACATAAAGAGCCAGCTAGATAGCTCAGCAGATTAATGTGCCTGCTTAGGCAGACACAGGGACTGGGGGTTCAATCCCTGGCAGGTTGTGCTAGCCTTGCCCCCAGAGCATGCTGAGACAAAGATTGAGACTGGACGTGGGGTGCACACCTGTAATCCCAGCACTTGGGAGGCTGAAAACAGGAGGATCGCTATGGATCAATCTGTGTAGTGAGACCCTGAACACCCTGTACTAAATACATAAAAAATAAAAAATGTGCATGTAGCAGGATCAAATACTAAAGGTGGAAAACTGCAATCTTCTGGTGTTAATACTTTAAAAGATGTGAGTTAGCAATCAAATTAGTGTTTGTTCAATAACTGAAACTCTGTAAACAAAAAAAGAAACATTTTTAAAAATTAAGTATGAAATGGCAAAGGAGCTACCTGTAGAGTTCCATGGCCAGTTGATAGTCTTGGAGCAGTATTCGTAAAGGAAGTATAAAATAAACGCTTATGCATAGTGCCAAACAGATCTGTAGAGTGGATTTTTTGTGTATATGACAAAGTCATTATATATGTAAAACTGCCAGTGCTTTATAGTTGTTAGAGGTCATATTTAGAATAACTTGTGCAAGCCTGATGGGATGCTGTTTGGAGGTAACATTTCTTTATGATGACATTAAAATGTAATCACCTTAGAAAATGTTGTTCTATTTTCTCTCTTCTTCCAGTTAGAAATACAAGCTCCTCCCGGTACTACAGTTGCTTATGTTGCACAGAAGTGGCACCCCTTTCAGCCTAAATTCACAATCCAAAATGCAAACAAAGAAGACATTTTGAAAATCGTTGGTCCTTGTGCAACATGCGGCTGCTTCGGTGATGTGGATTTTGAGGTACGATTGACAAAATGAAGTTTTCATTTAGGTTCTGACCTTCTGCAACACAACTCAAATTCTACAAAATGTAGAAAATATGCCCAAAATAAGGGACTAAGTATGTGCTTAGGCAAGTGCAGGGACCAGGATTCGATCCGCGGCACCACTTGCTGTGCCAGCCCTGTCCCGGACACCCTGACCTGGCCACCAAGACCAGGCATGGGGGGCACGCCCATCATCCCAGTGCTGGGGAGGCTGGAAACAGGAGGATCACTAAAGTCAGAGCTGCAAAGTAAGATCATGTACCAAGCACTTTTTAAAAAATTAAAATATACCTGAAATAAATTTTGAAAAATACAGTAAAATAATCTAGTAAGCTTATTATTTTGTGCCCATAATATGAATTTTAATTTTAGATGTTAAATTCAAGAATCAAAACAATAATACTATTATAAAAATATGCCACCTTGGCCACGACATCTAACAGACACCTTGACAAAGACTTCTGCTGTAGATTACAAGTTTTATTCAAAGTAATTTTTAACAACTTAAAAGCTATGGTGGCCATCAAAATTTTCTTTTGAAAATATATTACGGTGAATAAAAATATTATCCGGGCTGGGGAGATGGCTCAGTGGCAAACACAAGAACTGGAGATCAATCCCCGGTTCCACCAAATAAATAAATAAATAAATAAATAAATAAATAAATAATCATTTCTTAATTAAAATAGCAAATGTCTTATTTTAAAACCTAAGCCTTTGAGATCTACAAACTGCAGTACAGAGTTTCAGGTTAAATCTTGAGGGGATTTGACTGACCTTATCAGATACAGAAGTTACATTTCTTGTTATATAGGTCTTATTTTATCTTGGTCTCAACCATCCAACAGAAAAGTATAAAAATGAAGTACAAAAAGTAAAGCCATATTAATATGCTGAGCTGTAAAAGGCTCAAGTCAACAATTTCTGACATTTCCAGTCTTATGGAAAGCCCACTACTATTATGGACTACTGGACTATATTGTAATATTTCGTTGAATTCACGCACATACAATATGTAAGTGACAATGGAATACTCTTCTCTGACAAAACTAAACAAAAAAGGATGATACAAATGAATGACCATTTTGTATCTGTATATTCAAAATAGTTAAGATAGATATACAGCTGTATTCTCTTAATTCAATGAATAGAGAGATTTGTTCTAATAGTGTTTGGGACAGGATATCATGTCTGTATATTGTACAAGGAATAACCACCAAGACAACAATATGCAATGTATTAATTTTTGAAACTGTGCTAGCAATCAATTTTGATACTGTCTCATTGCTATTTGTTTCTCAATACAATAATTTTAAAAAATAAATAAATAAAAAATAAATTCTGTCCACACAATGCCAAAAAAACCCTAAGTCTTTGAAAACCAAACTTTTAATGTCTATATAATTTTGACTCTTTCAGACGTTTTTTTTATTTCAAAAGTTAGAAGTATAATGTTTCTGATGGTATGAAGTAAGTGGAATGACAAATACGCACTGTGAAAAGCAAATGTATATAGTTTATGAATACTCAAATTATGTATGTTATTTCATATAGAACTACTCTAGGCCTCATTTCAAAAGTAAAACTAATTAAAATATTACTGATTTTAAAAGCTATATTTGTAAGATTTGCTAAATTCTGTAAAACAATTTACTCAGTTTTCTATAATTGAATGTTAAAATAAATATATGCAATTTCAATTTTTAATAATGCAAAGTATCTTAACAGATTTGCCTAGATGTGTATTTTAGGGAAAGGAGACAACCTAATTTAAGTTTGCACTTATTTTTCATTGATTCATATATACGTAATCTAAAGGCGTTCCATTTTCAAGATTCCAGGAAAAATAATGGGCATAGTATATGTTACAAATTCTGCAATGTGAAATGTACTAATTCCAACTATTCCAAAAGAATTTGGAATCATATTTTAAGAACAATATGATTAAGTAAAATTTGTCCTTAAAAATTTCAGTATTCATGGTAGTGAAAGGTCCCAAATTACTTTCTCTAATTTCAATTTGTTACTGCCATATAAAAAGTTAAAATTTATATTAAATAACGTTCATCATTATAATGAGAAATGTAATGAGAAAATGTTTAATTAAGAACACTGAGTTGTAGACTCCTGAAAAAGACTGACGGGCCTTAGTCTGAATTTCCTATAGTGTCCACTAACTCAGAAAGATGTTAATGTTAAAATAGAAGTAAACTTAGAAAAGAATGATTAGAAATATCTTCAGTTTAATATAAAAATATGATTTCACAATCTGTGATATTGTGTAATGATCTAATAATAATAAAATATGAGTTGATATCTACAGATGACTAGAAAATTCAGCTTTAAAATCCAGGTAAACAAATTCCTTTACACTTAGATTGTATAATTGAACGGCGTACCTGCTGCCACCTTGTGGTTGCCTGGCCTTAATTATTTATTGTCATATTCTCAATCTGCATACAAAAAAGAAAAAAAAAGTTTTCATGGTGAATTAGAAAATGACCATAAAAATCATACTTCCAAGACAGTTGACTGTAAAGCTAAATTTACAAACTTATGCTTAAAACAAGAAGCAAGATGGAATTGTTAGTGATGAAGTATAAAATAATTTCTCTTGAGAAGTAAACATGCCAAGAAATGCAAAACCATCACTTTTTACCTTCAAATTTGCTACCTCTCATTTCCTTCTCAAAGGTGAAAACCATTAATGAAAAGCTGACGGTTGGGAAGATTTCAAAGTACTGGTCTGGATTTGTAAACAATGTTTTCACAAACGCTGACAACTTTGGGATCCATGTTCCTGCGGATCTCGACGTGACAGTTAAAGCTGCAATGATCGGTGCTTGTTTTCTCTTTGTAAGTATGGCCTTAGAGAGTACACATGAGTTTTCTACCTCTTGTCTGTCAGTTTCTATAGAGCCAATCCAGGTTAGATCTGACTTTGACCCACAAGTACACTTCACACATGGAAGAGGGCTTAGGACCAATCTGTTTTTCTTCCCATTCTTCAGAAATCAGGATTTGGAAGCCGAAATTTCTCTCCCAGGCAGGGTGGCACATGCCTGTAATCCCATCACTCTGGGAGGCTGACGCAGTAAGAAAAACTAAGAAAAGGCTGAGAATGAGTTCAAAGAGCCTGAGTTCCAATTCAAGTTCTTCAAATAACAAAAACAAAAACTCCACATTTCTAGTAGGCAGCCCCTCAAAGCAGCCTCAGGAGATCCCTTCTCATTATTTTCTCAAAAGCTGAGTTTTGCTTTCCTTTCACTGTCAATTTAAGTTTGTGACATAGTGACACTTTCACTGAAAAATATGTAAACATTAATATGACATGATTCATCTTGGCTAAGGGTCAGGACTATTTCATTGCTTGAAAATGAGCAAGGTTATGGCCAGAATAAGAAGAGAACAGCTTTCTCATGCTTCCTATCTGAAGACTGACACATTAGGTTCACAGATAAACAGCTTTCAGTTGCCATTGAAACAAAGACATATCCTGTCCTTCATTTCCAACTTATAATTTCGTTCAAAATGTGTTTTTGTATCTGAAAATTGGTGAACAAAGTAAAAACACTTGTGTAACGACACTTGGATGTCTCTTCCTAATCATCTCCCTGAAATCTCCTTTTCAAAATACCATTTTAAACATTCAAAAATCTCATATCATTATTAAATAAATGAACATTTTTCCTCATATTTCACTCTTCCGTGTCCCAGGGCCCTACGCCTTATGATTATGATGATGTGTTCTGCTGCTGAACCAATTCAGCCCTCCTCTCTGGCTCTCCTTGAAAGACACTAGAAAAACAAACTAAAGACGAGTCCTTAATCATATCGCTGATGAACATTCAGAGTTCAGTGCAGAAAAAGACTTGCCTATTAGTTATTTTTTCAGGGCTTTAGCGGAGTTCCTTTACCCTCCTGATTCCCTATCATTGGTAGAAGGTAGAATTACTATGTGACAAACGCTGTGTTTTTACACTTCTTTAGTCATTTAAAGTCAATTTCCATTTTCATTTATAAATGAAACCAATTACCTGGCACCTACTGTTTGTTGTATTTCTGAATCCCTTTATCCACATTTTTTATCATTCTGTGCTTCATCACCAGACTTTCCAAATTCACACACACACACACACACACACACACACACACCCTTTACCCAAAGATTTTCATTAGGCCTTTCTGATTAATGCTCACATTGATTTTTCATATTAGAAACTACTCAGGCACAGTGGTGCATGTCTGTCATCCCAGCACTAAAGGGACTGAGGAAGGGGGATCGCTGAGAATTTGAGGCCAACCTCATAGTAAGTTCAAAACCAGCCTGAGTTACATATGGAAACCATGTCTCAAAGCACCCCCCAAAATTATTGAAAACAGATAATGTATAATGTGACCTATTCATCCACTTTGTATAACAGATTAATGACAAGTAAAAACTTTCAAAGCTAGCACTACATTGTTTTCTATCTTAAATCCCACTTTTTTTTTATTTTAGGGAAGGGCCTACATGGTGTTTAGGGTCTCACTACTAGATTGGACTCACAATGTTCCACCTGTTTACAACCTCCCAAGAGCTAGGATTACAGGCGCTCACCACCATGCCCAATCTCAATTACTGTCTCAGTGCACGTGGGAGGCGGGGCCTGCACAGCAGACTCAAGGATTAAACCCCACTTTTCGTTAGAGAGTATTAAGATTTGCTCTCTCCAGATTTCTAAATATAGGTACTCTTAAACAAGTATATTTACCTATTTTTGCTCATAATCTTTGCAAGATTAACAAAATATATATTTAATAAATGCTGATCTACATTGTGCTCAGAACCTAGCAGAGGTGTAAAATAGTGTTTTGGAATTGTGGAATTGTGTTCAAAGGCAAAATCTCAGACACCAGCTGAATTGCATCAGAGCCAGAATGTGAACAAGAGGCCAAGTGACACCTTCACACTGTATGCATTCGAGAGATACTGATCCCAGTAACATCTCAGGCCTTTTTAAAGGATGACTTTTATAATCCAGGACCTAAAGGAGAGACCTATAATCTGAGAGTATGAATGGAACATATACACTTCCTTTAACAAAAATCATAATATCCAAATGGTACTGTACTGTCAAGGTAGTTTTGTAACAACAATTTCTCACATGAATTTTCAAGAAAAACTACTTGCCAATGTACATATATAAATTTCATAGATTGCTCTTTGTTATAACCTCCTATACTGGTTGTGAATGTCTATAACCTAATTCTTTAGTTTTAATCCCCCCAAATTTTGACTATTAATAATGGTATGATTTAGCTAAGCCTTCCAAGTTACTAATACTGAGGAATTTTAACATGTGTCATAAATCATGAGACTTTTCCCTTTTTCTTTAATTGATGAGAAGTTACTGAAACACCACTGGGAAGTATAATTACTTTACAGAATCAAAGCCTGCATGTCAGACTCAAGATCCTAATTGTTCCCTTTTTGTAAATGTACTCATATCCAGTTTATTTATTTGTAGGACTTTATGTTCTTTGAACACTCACTAGCTGGATTATGACAAGCAAGATGACAAAACACTAAAATATGCAGAACATATTTCAGTAAGTAAAAGGCAAGCTTACATGATTTCTTTCCCTTTGAAGATGTCCATATTTGACGCAATCTAATTTCTTTTCATTTTCTTCTAGACATCCCTTGGGCTCCAGATTTCATTTCTGATGGTTTGAGTATTTGTTTCTTTAAAAAATAACTGTCAATTATAATATTTATTAAAACACAATCTAATGAGGCAATTATCTAGTTGTGAATGCATGATGGCTAAATACCCAATTACTGGCCCGAACACAGGGTTTCTTTGAGAGATTACTATCCTTTCATTTTATCCTTTTGAAGTTATTGCAATGGTAGGCATGAAAGATGAGCACTAAGGCTTGCAGTATCACTGATGAAAATTCAATGTTTAGAGAAGACTTTGAAGTTTTGCTGGTACTAAGGGTGGTTACTAATCAAAAGAATTGAATTTCTAAAATATTTTTTTCAAAAACAGTCCCTTCTGAATTTCTTTATTAATTTTCTTATTGTAGTGAGATGCTTTATATTAGAAAAGTTAAAGATTGAGTAAATCATAGGTTTATGAAGATTAGGATGGAGGTTTTCAATTCAGTCTAGTGGCAGGAAGTAGTTATATTCTATGAGGTAATTAATATTTATATACATAGAAAATACACTTAAATACCTACTTATGCCAGAGGTTTCAATAGTCATGCACAAAGATTTCTAGATTATTAAAAAGAAGTATTATCGACGAACAATTTTATCTATTTGCAAAGAAATTTCAGCCAAGTAAGGTATCCAAAGCTCTGAAGATGAAAAACTGAAAAAGTCTAGGACTTTAAAACAAGCAAATAAAAACCCAAATCCCTAAGATAAATTTGGAAATAAGAAAGCACATTAAATTAAATCAATTCTTAATTAAGCATTAAAACTTACTGTGTTTGGAGTGCTCCCAATTACTGTAGCCTAGTTGTCTACATGTTTCCAAACCTCACACAGGATGAAGGTTCTTTCTCATGAATAATTATTTCCGTTTCAGAGTTAGGAACACTATTTCTTTTAAGCAAGGTCCCACATAGTATTGATTTAGGCTCTACTTTAGAATTACATAAATGCTTCCCAAATTTGCATTAAAATATGAAGGTGTTTGGAGAAACTGAGCCATTCCCCACTTACAACATAGAATGCATTCCAAGCACCTGTTTTTAAGTCAATCATTTGAAATTAGAAACTAATCATGCCCCAGAAATAACATAGCTGGTGATTATCTTACCCCAAGTAGTCCACAAGACCAGTTTGATTCTGGGTTCTGATACAAAGGCCTTATGTCATATAAGGTGGAAGGGAATAGAGACTCTTATTTTCTAGTGCACGTTCTTAAATATTATTATTTTTATTTTTATTTTATTTATTTATTTATTTACGGAACCGGGGATTGAATTCAGGCCCTTGCGCTTGCCAGACAAGCGTTTATTCTACTGAGCCATCTCCCCGGCCCCTTAAATATTCTTTATGCTGACTTTATGCCTTCCCTTTTTCTGATTACTTTTTTAATTGAAACACAGAAAGCACAAATGACCACGATCTGTCATAAAAGAACTTTTACTTGAAGCAAAATTCTTTAAGCACCAACCACCAAAATAACCCAAGTCCTCTCCAAGTCACGTGATCCCGTCCTTCAGTTGGGCCTCTTGAACACTGGGAGCGAGTCAGTCACGGAAGGGAGCACAAGCGCTGCGCTCAGCAGGCCCCGCGCTGCGCCCAGCTCTGCTGCCAGCTGGCCCGGCAACCCTACACCTGTAGCTGTTCAGAGTCCGCTCTGGATTTCCAGACTGTCTGTCACAAGGGGTGCTGATAAGTCCTTTGGGGAAGCCTACCATCGTTTCCCTTTACCTTTAGTTTATTTCAAAGAAAGGGTACATGGTTTATTCTGATTTGCTACGTGACATTTTTTAAACTGATGCTTATTAACTAATAAGATGGAGAGAAATAGTTGGCATATTTTGAAAGTTGGTTCTTTTCAAGCCTCATGCTAAATTTTACTGCTACTGACACAGTAATAAGAGGTAGGGGACACTACAGATGACTTCACCTTTGAACTCCACCCAGGGGAGCAGGTTTAATAACTTAAGTAATATCACCCAGCCCTTCTGCTTTTCCACAATTCTCCCTCTAGAAGATGCAGCACTTAGGGTACTGTCTTGAAAGCGGAGACCTGTTCCCTATCAGGTACCAACACAGCTATGCCTTGATCTTTGACCCTCCAGAGGTTTCAAGTTGCTTTCGTAGACCCAGTTCCAAATGTTTCTGCACAATGTGGTCAAATGCAGCCATGAAAATGCCCCCACTTCCCTGTTCTGTATTAAGTAAGCTTTTCCACTCCTGCAAGGAATACTTGACACTCATGAGTCAAAGGAGGAGTGGCTTACTTTGCCTCATTTTCAGAGGTTTCAGTTGAAAGTTGGCTGGCCACGGCAGGAGCCAAGCACTGTAGAGCAGAGGTGCTCATTTCACGGCAGCTAGGACGCAGGACACAGGAGCAGAGCCCTGTGAGAGGCGCCCCCCAAGGCCTGGCCCCTGGGGCCCACCTCCCACAGGGCCCTCCTCTGAACAGCACATTTAGATAATTAAACTAATCAACTGATGACTATAACATTCCCGCAGTCCTGTCAAATCTTCAGATATTCTTTAAGAGAGCTGAGTTGACAACTAAGATCACTTTGAACGTGCACCATGGAGCCAGAATGAAAAAAACAAAATTGTATGTCTACATTTTGTCATTTTTATAAGACCACTATTGGGGTTGGGGAGATTATGTAGTAGAATAAGTGATTGCCTGGCAAAGGGAAGGGCCTGAGTTCAATCCCCAGTTCCACCAAAAAAAAAGAGACTATTTTGGAACTTCTTTTTTTTTTTTTTTCCTTTGGTGCCAGGAATCAAACTCAGTACCTTGCTCTTACCAGGCAGGAAATTACGCTGCTGAGCTATCTCCTTGACCCTATTTTGTAGCTCTTAAACATACTTAGATGAGCTATCAGAAAGAACTATTCAACACACATCTAGAGAATCACTAAAGATAATCCTTGTGAGATAAGACACATTTATAAATAAGTTGGTTCCATTTAAATAAAACTGCCCAAAGTACTTTGTTCACAAGTTGGCAAATCATAACACAATGAATTCAGTCTTTTCTTTCCTTTTGCATTAAAGATGAAATTAGTCTTTATGTTTCTTTGATCCCAGAAATATCATTCGTCTTATGGATGTTCAGAGTCTAACTGACAGGATAGTTTGTAATCAAATGAGAGAAAAGTTAAATTTCAAACACGAGATGTACTTATAGACAGAATCAAGATTGAAGGTAGGTATAGTTGAACTATTCATGAAATGAGGGAAGGTTGTTTGGCTTAATATATTTAAAATAAGTAGAAATAGAGGGACACACATTCCAATGTGCAAAATTTCTGTGGTGTAGGAAGAAAATGTGATGATTGAAGTACTTGAAGGCCAGGGACTAAGGTGAGACAAAGTGCTACAAGATGAGCATAAGTAGGACACTGGAAAGATTTTAGGCTTTAACCTGCTGGCCAAGCATCTGTTAGCTTTCATCAAAGACAGGTGATTGAACTGGGGAGGTAGCTCTGCAGTCTAAGCACCTGCCTGGCAAATGCAAGGACCCGAGTTCCATTCCTGGGACCACACGCCATACCAGCTGCTGATCTCTGGGTGTACTCGGCGTGGTGGCACATGCTTTTAATCCCAGCACTGGGGAGGCTGAGACAGGAGGCTCACTATGAGCGCAAGCTGCATAGCAAGACCTTCTATCCAATAAATTTTAAAAAGAGGTGATTCATGAAAAATTGCATTGATAAGAAGGTATGACAGGATGTTCATAGACAGTAAGTTATTTTAATAGCTGATGAAACAACAAATGGAAGTTGGATCTAGGTGGCAATCACAGAAAGAGGGAAAAGTGAGGAGCACTTAAGATACATGCAGAGTGGCACTGATGGCAGCTTGAGAATGGAGTTGCAAGGGAAATAGATTTCTAGCTTATATCACTTACTAAACATGAAAGCATTACAAGAGGATCGAGTTTTGAGAGGATGCACATGGGTCCAATTTAAGCAAAGTACATGTGTAATACATTACATCTTTTTAAAAGAATATACTAACTAGGCCAGTGGGCATCTTTTTACCCAGTACATCTCTAAACAGAGATGAGTTTATATGAACTACAGTGGGACTATACAAATCCAATTAATTGTCATTGTTTCAAGGTTAATCTATTCTTTAAACATGTAAACAATGAATTATTGATTTGTTTGTTTATTTAAATGTTTGTGGTGCTGAGCATGAAACACATGCTAGACAAGCATTTTCCCACTGACAGAACTGCCTCCCTATCCCATTGTTCATTTTTAAGTGACAAATACTTCATACATTTATCATCTGCACATGATACTTTCAAATGTACATTGTAAAATGGCTACACCAAGCTTATGAACACATTCCACATACATGTACATTTTTCTGATGAAAATACCAGAATCTATTGTCAGAAGCTTTCAAGAATAGGAAACACTTGTTAACTACAGTTGCATGTTTTACAATAGATCTCTTAAATGTACTTCTGTTCTTTTACTTAATATCTTATGGAACTATATTTAAGTACTAGGCTGTAATTTGGGCACTGGAAATACTACGTTCAGTGGCACATTGTCCCTAATGTAATCACCCTTCAACAATCATTTGTGGAGCACACACAGTGTACCATGTACCAATGTGAACAATAGGTCACAACAGTTTGTTAACAAAAATGTAGATGTAACAAAAACTGTAGATACTTCTTTCATGAAGCTTATATCTGTCTGATAAAGATAGATACTAAAGCAATAGAACAATACAATGTAATCATATACAAGCATAATTACTGACAAAGCAACTCATTCTTGAGGCAAATTTATTGCTTCCTCAAGCAAAAAAAAGTTGGGCTTATGCTGA